ATCTACTACTTTGATATATCAATTTTTCCCTTTCCCTCTTCACCCCTCCCCTGAGAAACAGTTATACCTCTGCTCTTTACACTATTTTATTTTTTTGATTATGAAAATTGTCGATTCAATTCCTTATATTTTTCATGTATGTTTTCATATACTTTTCATATACAAATATAAGGTTTTGGTGATAGTGATGTCAATACTAATGACGAATTTCTATATCATTTCTCCAATGCCAATATCATTTCTCACAACACACCCACAGTATGCCAGCCATAATTTAGGCATAGAAGCACTTCCTTCCCCACTTCTGCTCCTTGTCCAAATCCAGACAAATGTTGCATAATATTAACTCAGGTCAATTCTTGTTGAGATTTAGACAAGTGCAGTACCTCCCTTGAGGGGTTTCCATGACCAAGAAGGGATATGAACCTAGTGCTCGAAACCTTGAACCACTCTGGTACTTCCTTCAGCCAAGACTGGAGACTTATTAGGATAGTTGATATTCAGTGACTGATAAAGCTAGATGGATTCCACAGTGTTTTAGAGGATTATATAGCAAGAGTAACTAAGACTCAAATTAAACCCCCTGGTCATTCTGTAGTACACAGATGATTCAAACGTCTGACATAATTATTTTTCCCCGTTTTGTTTGACTTCCTGGCATACACCTGAGCTGACAGCAAAGAAGCAATTTGGGAGATACAGATGGAAATCTCAGAACAAATGTAACTGAATAAAGGAACTTATTATTAAGTCTACCCTAGATGGACATGGCAATCAAGAAGCTATTTTTCTCCTACTGTTCTATCCTTTTGAAATCATCCAGTTAAGTTTTTTCAGTTGTCTATGGGCTTTGAAAATGTGTCCATGAAGTGATATGGCAAGACCATCCATGGCACAACCACTAGACATGTTACAAGCAAGATGTCATTTATTTTTAGTTATTAAAATATTTATATCCCACCCCAGATCATGGTATTCAGAGCAACGCACAAGAAAATTGCCCTTTACTTATTTTAAACCATTTAAGTTAATCTTTCTAAAGATTAAGATTTGAAATTTTTTAAACAAGACAGCTTAAAACCAGTTATAATAAGTGAAAACAATTAAAAACCATAAGCCAATTCTGATTGAATCAATTAGGCTTCAAAAAGCAGGTACCAAAGAGCATCCAAAACAGCTGGGGACCCACAGATAGAAAACCACTGATCTAAAGAGTGGGTAATCCATGACAGCAGAGAAGGCCCTCTCCTACCTCTTTCCACAGTATATTGACAAAGGAGGGTTCTTAATCTTAATCTTCAGGGCAAAGCAGACAGGGAGCAGCATTAAACCTTAAATAAAGGTCTCTTGTCATGCATAACTGTAGTGGATTGGACTCTGAAGCTGGCACAGGTCAAGCAATCTAGAACACTGGGTTGTTGCAGGTTTTTTCAGGCTATATGGCCATGTTCTAGAAGCATTATTTCCTGATGTTTCACCTGCATCGATGGCAGGCATCCTCAGAGGTTGTGAGGTCTGTTGAAAACTAGGAAAATTGGGTTTATATATCTGTGGAAAGTCCAGGATGGGAGAAAGAATTCCTGTCTGTTGGAGGTAGGTGTGAATGCTTCAACTGGGGATATTTTCAAGCTGTGGATTGTTGAATCCAGGTATGCAGAATCCAGGGATATGGAGGTCTAGAACACTATCTGCTCCTATCTTGTCAGCTAAATATCAACTTGTTAGGTGTAAGATATTAATAAGCTGCTTAATATGATTCCATGCTCCCTGTGGCTGATCACACCTAGCAAGAAAGGAATAACTCATTAGGTTTAAAATACATTCAATTTTGGTGGAAAAGAGAGGTTTCAGGTTTCTTCAAGTTGGCAATACATCCAGACCTTCATATCCCTGGATTCTGCATCCCTGGATTCAACCATCCACAGCTTGAAAATATCCCCTCCCACAAACCCACATAGGTAATCTTGGGTTTGCCCTATTATATTAGAGCCACTGTTTTACTATGCCATTCTATATAATGGGAAGTGAGCATTCATGGATTTGGGATCCAGGGGAGTTCCTGGAACCAAACCCCAGTGGATAAGCTCACTGCCTTGTGGCTGTTCCTGAAGAAATGGCTGCTGCACCCAGAAAATCACAATTAACTATAGGACAGTGGGAAATGGTCAGTGATAAATGTGAGGTGTTCAAGTATATGTTAGAGGAGCACGTCTAAGCTATCTTGAGTATAGATCTCATCACAGCTGTCACAATTCACTGACAGAGAAGATGAGCCGTGTGAGTAATCAATCAGCAATCCAGAGATCAGAAGCTGAAGAATCAGTTAGTAGCAGGAAAGTCAAGACAGTCAATGGGACTCCCAAAAGAGTAGTCGGGATCCAGCTCAGAGTGTCTAGAAAGCAGAGGAAAGTCTCCAAGATGGCTTGGATGTCTTTTCCACAGTGAGAGATGGATGTTGCTTCCAGCATCTGTTTGTTGTCTGACTTATCTAAATAGGCTGATTACTCAGTGAGAATGGCAGGGGTGATACCAACTGAAGTGTGCTGAACCCTTCCCCCCAAACACTTATGTACTGCTGCTATCCCAGAGAGAGGCACAAAAATAGTTCTTGTTCATTCTGTGAGATAACATCTAATATGTCAGCAGCTTTCAATGCCACTGATGATAATATGGTTCAGTTTTAACTATGGTCTGAACTTCACCTGTAGCAACTGGTCATACTTTAGTTACTGATTACATTTAATGGTTTCCAACCCTGGGTCTGCCGGACTCAAGTTCCAGAATCATTGCCATTGTCCGTAGTGGTAAAGGCTTCCTTGCATTGTAGGCCAATAACATCTGGAGACTTCAGTTTGTGGGCCACTACATAAAATACCACATTGAATGGATTTTTCAAAACATTATAGCATTCAGTTTAAAGCATATTTATTTGTATCTAACAATCTCCTCCTGTTCTCATTCTAAAACTTCTCATTCTAAAACTTCTGAAGGAGCACAGGTTCCAAGCGAAACTGTGGTTAATGACTAAAGTGTGGTTAATCTAAAACAGAAGTAGACGCTTCCAATGCTGTCCTTATTGTCACAACAGAAAACAAGATGGGAATACATAAGCCTGAAGCTTTGTTGAAGCTCCTTCTTGCAACAAAACCATAGATCTTTGTTATGTTCCAGTTACCATATGGTTGCCAGGTGAAATAAGGCATGGCACTCTTCTCCTTTTAATTGTAAGACATTCAGAAGATGTTGCAACACACAAGCAGCAGTGCCTGAAATTCCCACTTCTCCATAACCATTAAAGAAGCCCCATCCCTTATTTTATCTGGCAACCCTGCAACCAACATGTGTAGAAGAACAAATGACTGTTTGCATGGAGTAACTATTACAGAGACAGCATGCCACAGAATGCATTTTCTCAGGCCCAAACGCTTCTTTACACATGTAGTCTCCCAAAGGAGAGAAACACAAAGGAAAGTGCAACTTTTTCTTCTGCCTCCACACTAAACCACTGCAGGAAATGATTCAAAACTCCTGTTGTCGAAGGCTTTCATGGCTGGAATTACTGGGTTGTTGTAGGTTTTTTGGGCTGTATGGCCCTGTTCTAGAAGCACTCTCTCCTGACGTTTCACCTGCATCTATGGCAGGCATCCTCAGAGGTTGTAGGCGAAACGTCAGTAATGCTTCTCGAACAGGACCATAAAGCCCAAAAAAACTCACTCCTTCTGTTGGCTCCACCAACTTGTTTAACCCAGGCAGCAATGGGGGGCATATCATTCATGTGCTACCCATGACCAATGTCTGCACTTTGAAGGAAGGTTTTTGACTCCCACCCATAAACACAGTAAAGACCAGAGTCATTTAGCGCTGCTAGAAACCCTCTTCCAACTTTCTCACTAATCTAAAAATTAGAATCCTAGTGAGAAAGTTGGAAGAAGGTTCCTATGCATGGGCAAACTTGGGGCCCTCCAGGTGTTTTGGACTTCAACTCCCACCATTGCTAACAGCCTCAGGCCCTTTCCTTTCCCCCCTCAGCCACTTAAGCATCCTTTATCTTCTTATATGTGGTTAGGGTAATTCTTTAGGTCTTGGAGTGCAACTATGCTGTCGAATTAATGCAGTTTGACACCACTGTGCTATGAAATCATGGGAGTTGTAGTTTTGAAGTCACGAGCCTTCTCTGTCAAAGAGTGCTGGTGCCTCACCAAACAATGGCTCCCAGCATCCCATAGCTTTGAGCCAGAGGAGATAAAGTGGTGTCGAACGGCATTGACAGTGTAGATCAGGAATGGGCAAACGTGGGCCTTCCAGGTGTTTGGGAGAAAAAGATGGGGCCTGAGGCTGTTAGGAATGGTGGGAGTTGAAGTCCAAAACGCCTGGAGGGCCCAAGTTGGCCCATGCCTTTTGTATTCTCAAAGGCTACATGTGTATGTGCCTTCAAGTCAGCTGTTAACTTATGACTTGGATGAAGTTTTGCCAGTTGGTTCCTCTGAAAGGCAGACCCCAGTACCTGGTTTTGCTTGGTGGTCTCCCACCTAAGGACTAACCAGAGCTGACCCTGCTTAGCTTCTAAGATCAGGTCACGTGGTGCCTTTAGAACTCATTCAAAACAAACCCCGACGCTCCAAACATTGGGCCTGAGGTCCTGATTCGTTCAGAGGCGACCAACTTGACCCAGATTCGCAAACTTTTACTTGGAGAATGACTTCGCTTCACTTTGGCTTTGAGAAGGACTGGATTTGTTTGTTTGTTTTCCCAAGTGAATACTAGCCCTCTCTCTCTCTCTCTCTCTCTCTCTCTCTAGTGCGCAACATTTGGGGTCTTCTGCAACTTTTCTTGCTCCTGTTTCCCCTCCAAAAAGGCAACGCGGTTGTTCCACCTTGCAACTCGCCTCTCCAGGCACAGCAAGGCAGGTGAGAGAGGCAGGAGAGGGTGAGTGAGGGGGGGGGGAGGCTTTTGGGGAGGCAAGCAGCGCGAAGGGTGGGGGGAAGTCTTGGGGGACTTACTGGCTCGGGCTCGGGCTTGCCGCGGGGTTCATAGCGCCGTCACCTGGGCCCGGGAGAGTGCCTTTTGAGGGGGGCCCCGAGCGCCTCCACTCGCATCGCCGCCTCGCGTGGAAAGGCCAGCTGCCCCGGCTGCCTCTCCGTCCGCCGAGAGCGCAGAAGAGAACCGGAGCCAAGCGCGGAAGGCGGGGTTAAAGGCAAAGGCAGACTTCTTCTATCCGCTCGAGGAAGTGGGGCCCTCCCCTCCCCTCCCCTCCCCTCCAGGTGCATCCACACCGGAGAAGTCCTGCATTTGGGCACCACTTTAAACTGCCACGGCCCCATGCTATGGAATCGTGGCATTCGACGATTTGGGGAGGCAGAAAGGGCTGACAACGTTTTAAAACCACAATTCCGATGATCCCACACCATTATTTCGACATAGACGCACTCTTATTATTTATTTTTCGTCTCAGGAGTGAACCAAACAGTTGTATTGTATTTTTTAAAACAACAACAACAAAGTTTGCAAACTTGGCATTCTATTACCTAGAAAAACCCTCCACTTTGTGTGACTGTGGAGCAGAACAAACAACTCCGCATCTCTAGGAGAGGAGATTCCACCTGAACAGGAGGAAGAACTTCCTGACTGTGAGAGCCGTTCAGCAGTGGAACTCTCTGCCCCGGAGTGTGGTGGAGGCTCCTTCTTTGGAAGCTTTTAAACAGAGGCTGGATGGCCATCTGTCAGGGGTGATTTGAATGCAATATTCCTGCTTCTTGGCAGGGGGTTGGACTGGATGGCCCATGAGGTCTCTTCCAACTCTTTGATTCTATGATTCTATGATTCTATGCTTTCCCACAATGCCCTGCCTCATGAGCAGAGGAAGAATTGTTTAAAGCTACAGACAATGCGGTTGCTGTTGCCCACTTTTGGTCTAAAATTATTTAGCTGCTTGTGCTTTATTTTTATCAGTTTATGCCTAGTCATGCTGTGCTTTTGACGTGAAATTTTAAAAAACAAAAACAAAAAAAAGACAACAGTTCTTTTCACCCATTCTGGGCGGTCCACGGGTATATGTACTCCACTTGCTTACCATCATCAGATCCTCTGAAGATGCCAACCACAGATGCAGGCAAAATGCCAGGAGAAAGCACTGTTAGAAACCACACAACACATCTGAACAGCCCACGAACTGTTGACACCTGGAACATGTTAGATTCATATTCCCATAGTGGTTTTGCCTGCCACTTTTCTTTGAATGCCTAAACTGTATTGTTTAAGGCTCAAAAGGTTTGGGGACTGAGTGTATGTTTCACCTGAGGCAGGCATGTAGCGTGGGGGGGGGGGGACTTCAGCCCCCCCCCCCAAATTTTCAGGGTGGTCCCCGAGAAGACCTTACTGGTGCATTATTTAAACTGTTATGTTTATTCATATCATGATCTGATCACCATGCTCCATATATCCCATATGCATGGGGATATTGGGATAATGATACAAAAGGTTTGCTAGGGTACATTCTCAGCCCCCGCTCTCAAATCAAACTCAGCCCCCCCCCCCAATCGAAATCCTGGCTATGGGCCTGACCTGAGGGAGCAGAATTCTTCTTTGGAAGGGGCAATGCTGACATGTAACTGTGCTCTAGCTTTTTCATTGTGTGCTTTCAAGTCATTTCCAACATAGGGAGATCTCATCACAAAGCTTTCTTGGCAGAGGAAGTTTGCCTTTGCCTCCTCAGAAGCCATGGGTACATCCACACTATAGAATTAATGCAGTTTTGAAACCACTTTAGCTTCCATGGCTCAATGCCTGGGAATGTTTGGAGTTGTAGTTTGGTGAGGCACCAACATTCTTTCCCTCAAATGACATCACCCTGAAGCCACTGTTTCCTGCAGACTGGTGACTAAAAGTTGGCGGACCAGCACTAGCTTACAATACATTGAGTACAATTGGTTTGGAGGCAGTATTTCCCAAACTCTTGTCTTCCAAGTCTTTTGGACTTCATCTCCATGAATCCCTGATCATTGGCCAAAAGGCAGCTGAGGCTTCTGGGAGCTGAAATCCAAAATACCTGGAGTCTTGTGTTTGGGAATCATTGCTCTTGAAAGACTGGGGGGCCTTCCGTACAGTCATATAACCCAGAATATCAAGGCAGAAGATCCCACAATATCTGCTTTGAACTGGGTTACACTGCCATATATTCCAGTTCAAAGCAGAAAATGTGGGATTTTATTCAGTTGTGTGGAAGTGGCCTGAGATCAGACTTCTTCTGTCTATAGGAAAAACAGAAGGTGGTTTTGTTTATGTTTTTGTTTTGAGCTTTTTTTTTTTTAGTTCAATCTGTTTGTGTTATTATTTGCAATTAGGCCGGTTTCATTGCAACCCTATGGCTGAAAATCCTCCCTGAAAATTGAGCCTCAACAGCTCTTCTCATGTCCTAAAAACTCAGGGTGGTGACTTCCTTGATCGAATCAATCCATCTGGAAGTGGGTTAATGGTATTGGTTGCTTTATGTTCTTTGCATTGCTAGGCCACATCAACTTCTGCCTTAAAAGGAAAACAAATCATTGTGTAGCTCCTTAAATAATAAGTGGGTTTTTAGACTTGTCTGAACTAGAATAGCCACCTCATGGTTTGAATAAAATGTTATCTTTAGTTAACTATGCAGGTAAACTTGGGTAACAAGGTCAAGGGTGAAAGAGAGAAATTGATAATGAAAAATGCAAAAAATGTAGTAAATGACTGCTCTAGATAAAACCAGAGATATGCAAAATGACTTTGTAAGAACACATGAATAGCCAGGTCAGATTAGATTGAGGAACCAGCCAGTATTCTGTTTACACAGTAGCAGCTACTTTTCTATGGGAAGTTTATTATCATGGCATTTATTTTATTTATTTATTTGTCGTGTCAGAACAACCAGTCTAACAGAACAAAGCAAACAAACAGAAAAATATACAACTTGTGAGTTTGGTAGCGTTAAATGTCCTTTGACCAGTATCTGGCCACTTGGAGTGCCTCTGGTGTTGCTACAAGAAGGTCCTCCATTGTGCATGTGGCAGGGCTCAGGTTGCATTGCAGCAGGTGGTCAGTGGTTTGTTCTTCTCCACACTCGCATGTCGAGGATTCTACTTTGTAGCCCCATTTCTGAAGGTTGGCTCTGCATCTCGTGGTGCCAGAGCGCAGTCTGTTCAATGCCTTCCAAGTCGCCCAGTCTTCTGTGTGCCCAGGAGGGAGTCTCTCATTTGGTATCAGCCATTGGTTGAGGTGCTGGGTTTGAGCCTGCCACTTTTGGACTCTCGCTTGCTGAGGTGTTCCAGCGAGTGTCTCTGTAGATCTTAGAAAACTATGTCTAGATTTAAGTCGTTGGCGTGCTGGCTGATACCCAAACAGGGGATGAGCTGGAGATGTCTCTGCCTTGGTCCTTTCACTATTGGCTGCTACTTCCCGGCGGATGTCAGGTGGTGCAATACCGGCTAAGCAGTGTAATTTCTCCAGTGGTGTAGGGCGCAGACACCCCGTGATAATGCGGCATGTCTCATTAAGAGCCACATCCACTGTTTTAGCGTGGTGAGATGGGCATGCATACTCAGCAGCAGAGTAGCACAGCGCAAGGGCAGATGTCTTCACTGTATCTGGTTGTGATCCCCAGGTTGTGCCAGTCAGCTTTCGTATGATATTGTTTCTAGCACCCACTTTTTGCTTGATGTTCAGGCAGTGCTTCTTGTAGGTAAGAGCACAGTCCAGAGTGACTCCCAGGTATTTGGGTGCGCTGCAATGCTCCAGTGGGATTCCTTCCCAGGTGATCTTCAGAGCTCGGGATGCTTCTCTGTTCTTGAGATGAAAGGCACATGTCTGTGTTTTAGATGGGTTAGGGATCAGCTGGTTTTCCCTGTAGTAGGCAGTAAGAGCACCTAGAGCTTCGGAGAGCTTCTGTTCTACAGTCTCAAAGCTCCCTGCTTGAGCAGTAATGGCACGATCATCAGCATAGATGAAGCTCTCTGTCCCTTCTGGCAGTGGCTGGTCATTTGTGTAGATGTTGAACATGGATGGAGCAAGCACACTCCCCTGAGGCAGGCCGTTCTTCTGTTTCCGCCATCTGCTTCTCTGGCCCTGAACTCAACAAAAAAGCTCCTGTTTTGTAGCAGGTTTCCTATGAGGCGGGTGAGGTGGTAGTCCTTTGTGATATTATACATTTTTTCTCAGGAGGAGGCGGTGGTTCACAGTATCATAGGCTGCTGACAGGTCTATGAAGACAGCTCCTGTGATCTGCTGCCTTTCAAAGCCATCTTCTATGTGCTTAGTCAGGTTCAGCACTTGCGATGTGCAGCTTTTGCCTTTCCTGAAGCCAGCTTGCTGTGGAATCAGACAGGGGTCTATTTTTCCATAATTCTATGCAAAATAAGTCTCTCCAGAACTTTGTAGAGGTGGCACAACAGGGAGATTGGTCTGTAGCTTTTTGGGTCATTACGGTCTTTGCTTGGCTTCAAGATGGCGATGACTCTTGCTTTCCTCCAGATTTTGGGGATCTGACAGGATGCCGTGCAGTTGTTTATCAGCTCCAGCAGCCAGCGCCTTGCTCTGGGACCAAAGTTCTTGATTTGTTCCATCCGTAGGTCATCCAGGCCAGCTGCTTTGCCATTTTTACATTTATTGAGAGCCATTCATAGCATGAATGTGGCTGAATCCTCCATCATTTGCTTCTGCCAGACACTGACTGATACTGGAAATGTGACCTCACAACCTCTGAGGATGGCTGCCATAGATGCAGGTGAAACGTCAGTAGAGAATGCTTCTAGAACATGGCCATATAGCCCGAAAAACCTACAACAACCCAGTGATTCCAGTCATGAAAACCTTTGACGATACATTAAAAATCAGCCTGTTTAGTGAGTTTTGCAATTCTGAATTATTATTACTAAATGTTTTATGTGTTGTTGAAATCAACCAGAGACATCGGCCACAGCAGAGCACTTGGTTAACCAACCTGGACACATCATATTATTTGAGAAAATGGAAATGCTGGACCACTCTTAACAACCTCCATGTCAGACTACACAAAGAAGCCATTGAAATCCACAAGCATAGAGACAATTTAAACAGAAAGGAGGAAACCATGAAAATGAACAAAATCTGGCAACCAGCATTTTAAAAAACCTCTAAAATCAGGACAGTAAATTAAGAAGTACACTCAGAACATAGGGGAATTTCAGACAAAAAACAATTAAGGCCAGGTAACACCTCCCAAAAAAGGATTCCCCTAGGCAGGAAGCAGCCAGGTTTTGAAGCTGCA